TTGCTCCTCGGGTTCGAGCCAACCTTCCGCATCATCGGGGGCACCGAGCTCCTCGCACGAGACTTGAGGTCAGCTGGGGATGTCTTCCCATCCGGGCAAAACTGCAACGTCTGAGGTGCATGCGCCACATATTCGGAAGAGCATGTCCTTCGAGTGCACTGAAGCACTCAGACGTTCAGATGGGCGGGGAGGTCGCATGAGTCGCGCCAAGAGACATGACAGGGCATCTCCGAGCTCCCCACACGGGTGTCCGAACCCGGAACCCAAGGCCTCAAGCGAAGGATGACACATTAGTTTTAGCGAATCACGCAACCGTGACATGGAGCCATCACCCCACCCAGGCGAGTCAACCGAAAACATGTCACAACACGACCGTGTCACCTCCTCAGTATCAGCTCTGCGATGGTGCATCCAGCGGACCAGAGATCAACCTGGCCCGTGACTCGCTGTGGCTTAGGTGTGTTGTTGGGCCCCCACATGTGGTCAATGCTCATGCAATCAGATAATCAGCCGCAGAGCCCCATGAGTTCTCATATGTTCTCATATGATTTCGCTCCATTTGTTGGTACATATTCGTGGTGCTCTATGGCGCGCGCTCTGGGCTCCCCCGACGCTGGAGTCTCCACGCGAGCCGAGAAAGAGCTCTGGTGCCCGATACCACCGGGTCCTCAGAGAGAGCGAACTTTGGGACCACGGGACCCTGTTCCGCGCGTTCTCTCGCTCTTTGCAAGTCTGAAAAGCCCTCACCGCTGTTGACATGACAAGTGTTGGCAACTGCTGCTAGGAAGCCACTTGGCGTTGAGGGATGCCAGCCCGAGAACTGAGGGTCCGGGGTCCCACGGGATGCAGCAACATGCCAATGCCCCAGTTCCATCGACCCTCCATGGATGCGTCCCCCAGTGACATGCGGTGAGTGCCCTCGATCGTTGCATTTCTCATTCCGCTTGCAATCTGCATTCCCAAGCACCCGACCCGACATAGGTCGCAATCTCCTTTCTCAGGCGCATGTGCTGAGCGCTATCTTTGTGACTAGCAGCTCAGCTAGGACGCAGGTAGGACACTGCATGATGCCTGCTGCATGCCGATTCGTGCAACGGATTCTCCACACAACAGCACTGGCAGAAGAACTGTGACTAAATTTAACTTGCGCCACACCAGAGTTACCAGAATGGCCCGCCTATTCTCGTGTAAGCGGTAAACTTAACTTGCGCCACACCACAGTCACCAGGATGGCCCTCCTATTACACCATGTACTCCCAGGCTTCTGTTTCGTACCGAGCAGCCCCAGGTGGCCCAGACTGTCCGAAGTCGCAAAGCTTCATCGTGGGCACCTCACTGACATGATGGATCATGGTTGCCACGATGGGTCAATATACGTAAGGCAAGACTCTCCTATCCCTGATACACCCTGTGAGCTTTCTCTCCAAGCGGATCTTCCCCTGAAACTTCCATGTTCGTTGCTCACCAGGTTCATCTTCTTGGGCCATCGCTCCGCGACTACCCCCCTCGCTTCCACCGACGAGGATGTTCTCGGGCCTCAATGCGACTCTTGGGACTCCGGGACTTCGGGATTTGGGACTCCGCCCGCATGGGATCTATCGTGTGGACTTGACATCGTGCTGCCTTTTCTCGAATGCTTGCGGCTTCTTCACTTCCACTTACAATGTGTTAAGGAATGAAGTTCTGCGCAAAAAAGACGCCCAGCTTCGTGTCTCTCTTCTTCTTATTCTTCTTCTTCTTATTCTTCTTCTTCTTCTTCTTATTCTTCTTCTTATTATTCTTCTTCTTCTTCTTCTCCTTCTTCTCCTTCTTCTTCTGCTTCTTCTTCTTCTTCTTCTCCTTCTTCTTCTTCTTCTTCTTCTTCTTCTTCTTCTTCTTCTTGGCCTCCCTCCTCTCTGTTTTTCTCCTCTTGCCAGCTCCTGCATGTCTGGCTCGGGCTCGATTGCAGCTGTTTTTTTGCCCCAAACTGGTCTGGTTGCTGGCCATGCTGCGACTCGACCAACTCTTTTGCCATAGTTCAGTGCACCCCTTCTCCAGTTCTCCTACGGCTCTCCCTACTTCTCTTGCGGCTTCCCGAGCCATTGGACGAATCCGAGAATGGTCCCCATGTCCCTCAGCCTCGGTAGAACCAAGCCTCCGCCAACTAGGCCAGACTCATCCAGACACCGCTCACGAGAAGAACAGGTCAGCACAAGGGAGATAGACAGCGATGACAGGAGGGCCGCCAGGAGAACAGGGGAGGGGGAAGGGCACCAGGGCAAAGGGGAGCATACACAGCCCAACATGTATTCCGGGAGGAGGGCACCTGCAGGCGACACATCAATGCCGCGCAAGCCAGTACAAGGAGGGTCCCAACCAAGCCGGCGACAGAGAGATGCAGAATGATGCAGAGCAAAAGAGGTGGGATTCTCTTTTGGTCATTACTGTCTCATGAGAGCAGATGGCGCAGAGCTCTCAAAAAACTGTATGTCATTGGTGCTGAGCCGGCCACTTCACATCGCAGTGAACCAAGCCCGCGGCGTGAACCTTCATACGCTCAGCACAACATCATGAGAGACTGGTGATAGAATCCAGAGCCTGGCATACACAAGCCTGGTTATGTAGAACTCCACTCTTGAAGCTATCCATGCGTCAGTATGAGCGAGTCTGTGCAGGGGCAATGACGGCAGCCAATGCCATCAGAAGGCGTCTTGCTGCCCAGCGCACCTTCGTGGCAAGCGATACAAACACTCTAGATGTGATTCTGCCCAACTATTGTACACTGATGCACAACACACATCCAGACACATGAAGACGCAAGGGTGACAGCATGCAATGTCATGCCAGGCCATGCAAAGCCACGCATGCGCCATACATTGCCATACATTCTGCGAGCCTGGGCTTCTTCGACGCGGCGGGCTGCAGCCTCGGCTGATGGTCAAAGTTTCCTCAAGATTCGCAACCCTCAACAATCTAGCATAATTTGGATTATTTAAATTATTTAGCAATTCTGGCAAAGCAATGAACCGCTAGCACACTTGTCGTGGAGGTGCGGGAATGCGCCAAGGCGCGATGCAGTGATGCAAACTGCCCTCGATGTACTCGAACACGAGAAACAGCTCACCACCTCGGCGAAGCATAGACATAGGGCAGTGCTCTACTGCATTGCTACGCGTGTGCTGTTCATTGCTCTTCTACTGGTACATACTGGTTCTACACTGTGCCGCACAGCTTATTGCAAGTTTGAGCGGGCTACATGCGATACAAGGTGATCACATCGAGTCTAACTCGGGACGCACACCGTGCCGCACCGCCTCCAGGAGTTGTACCAAGTGCCTTCAGGCAGTTTATCTTCAATCGATGCTGAATGCCAGTGAATGGTGAGGTGGCCTTCGGTCCGAGATAGCAGCTGCAGCCCGCACCTTCCCAAGACCATGGAATGTTTTTTACATGATTTTGAATGAGTTTTACCGAATTTTACCAATGTGCCAGATATTGCCAAGAGCTTTGGTGGAACAGACAGGTGTTGACATGGAGCGGCCTCGGGGAGTTGCTTGCAGGCTTCCCAAGACCTCCGAGGATTCTCCGCCATCGAATGCCCCCACAATCCTTTTCAGAGCTGTACAGCTTTCGCAGTGACTTTTTTCAGGCCCCCCTGCTCCGGTGAATGCTTCAGCTGCTTGACAGCTACAAGCCGGCCGTCCTCAGAGCGCGCACAACACTGCGCAATGCACGCCGCACATAGACATGCAGATGCGACGGTCACGTGGAGAGCTGTGGCCAACGCCGACTTTCGACGGGCCTTCCATACCACAGCAAAGGCACCTTCCATGATTCTCGTGTTCCAGGGAATGGTGTTCTTCTACTGCCCAGCATGATCCAGCATGGTCGAGTTCAGGCATTCGAAGCTAAAGTGGCACGTGAACCTGCAGATTCAGACTGGGACAGCTCTGGGTGGCCACCCAAAGGAGAGACAGGGTGAGAGAGGGACAAAGAAAGAGAGGGAGAGACAGGGAGAATGAGGGAGAGGGTTGCCTGAACAGGTCTGCGATTGCTTGCACGTACGACTTGACCTCTTGCAACCTCTTACGACCTCTTCCGACCTGTGTTTGCGAAGCCTCACACCCCAGTCACAGCAATGCTGAAGCCCAGTGTCTCTGAATCTCAACACGTCGCACTCTGCGACTCACAAGATCTCAGGCTGTCTCAAAGCTTTGCAGCCTTCAAGTTGAAGAACACGTTCTGCTGTGAAAGTGTCTTTCAAACTCGGCAAAACGCTACAACTCCAACTACCGTTCGTTCTCGTTGGCCATCGACACCCGCCCATGTTGCCATGTTGCTGAGCTCTCAAAGTTCAAGTCTTGTAATTGTAAACTTACAGACGAGTTTAGACTATCTCCCTTGCAATCCAATAACCGAAGAACCTGGTCAGTTAAAACAACTGTCCACTGTGCCACTAAATGTGTCGAGTCGTCGTGCCTTGCCCCAACCGCTGCACAAAGGAGTACTTCTCCATGGACCAGGGAGAGCACCTCGTTTGAATGTGTGATGACCCCACTGGCAATAGCTCAGACATTCCGTAGCACTGAGCAGCCAACGTCAAACGGCTCCCCCTGACGCGCCTATCCTTCCTCCATCGTCTTCCATGTGACCACCCAGAACCACCGGGTGCTGTTGATATGGAACATGTTGAGTTGTCAGGCTAACGGACTGCATACTACACCCCTGGACACACACGAAGGGCACCTGCAAACATTTAGCTCTAACAACCTGCCAAACGTGAGGCAACTATGATGAACTATGTCAGCCCATGCCAAGCCTTCCTGACTAAGTCACCGTGATTTATCACCACCGCATCCATGATTCGTCATGGATTAACTGGCTGAGAATGCAGAGGGATAATCGAACAGTCATGCACAGCTGTGCGAACTAGTCCAAAGTCAATCGAGCCAATGACTTCAACACATAGCATGCCAGCCAAACAGAGAAACGAAAGATGTTGCAGCTAAGATCGCCCCTGCCTCCTGCCCAGCATCCATCACTTCATCCTGGCATGGTGCGCACTCAGCACCACTTCACTAGACCCGGCGTCGGATCTGAGAGAGGGTCCTGCACGCCATCGACGGCCCTGTCGTTACCAGCATCCTCATCTCCATCCTGAACCCACTCCTTTTGTTTGAACCCACTCTTCTTGCTTGACTCTTAGGATAGCAAGTCAGCGTAGCAAATGAATATGAACAATGCTCCACCCCAATATTAATGATGGGGCCCTTGGGAATCTTTGCAGTTCGAAGTCAAGCCTTTTGAGGTTTGCATGTTGTTGGGTGCATGAGGGCTTCTAATCAGCCAACCAACGACTTCCATCTCATTCATGTTTCAATCCTGCTTTATGATTGAACTTCCGACTAGTGAACTACAAAAATGTGACACTTCCCGGTAACGGAGTAGCGAAAAGTACCTCGGAAGAGTGCAAAATTTGCCGGAGGGTTACCAATCAGACGCTCACATCAACCAGTTCTGTCACAGATCGTCGTCAAGCTCTTGTCGATCCTTCTCATCCTCATCGCTGTCGTCTCCCGCAGCCTGCATTGTGAGGACTATGGCCGAACTGCGTCCACGTAACGACGACCTAGCAGACCTAGCAACAGCTGTTGGGGCTTGTGGCTTCGGGCGTGCATCAACAGTACTTCTCAGCCTCAGGTACTTGCATCAAAGTTTGCACCTCCTCCCTTTCTGCGGGCTCATCCTTGTCTGACTCATCATTCTCTGCTTTGGCCGGATCCTGTGATTTGTGCCATGCTGGATTTCGGGACAGCGTCAGTCCACAGCCAGCTCCACCACAAACACCACACCAACACCTTAACAACTACTGTAACAACAACATCAAACACAACTGTCAGGATTTAAAGCTGCAGCCTTGGGAACGGAACACTTGGCTGCTGTTTCAAGTAGTGAGTGCAGAGTTAATGTTTAGCGTAGCATGCCCTGGCAGCCTCTTGGATTTTTGCAGTGCAAGAAGACAAGACATAGCATTCAAGTTGGTGTTTTGAGTCTGGTGAGAGGATGATTTGGGGTGTTGCTGACTTTACGGTCGCTTCGAAAGGACTTAGCAAATCAGAACATGAAGGACAAGAGAAAAAAGACTCAGTGTGTCGCTAAAAGGCCGTAGATGTAGCTGTGCACAAAACGTCTCAGTTCCACGCGGTCACCACCAGAGAACAGAAATGAAGATCACAAATATTCCTTCTTGCAACTCAGCCAAGCCCATCGGTGTGCGTCGCCACGCACCGCCTTTTGCGGCTTGAGCGCCGGCCTAAGCCGAACTGCCTGTGTGAAATCCGGCATGAGGCTTTGCGATCTCCACCGCTACGGCTTAACAGAAGTTCGTGAAGTGCTAGGGTACAAACCGACGACACGAAGGGCAAACAAGGGCAAACAACAACAACAAACGACCACCAACATCAACAAGCATCCACAAACGACAACAAAGGACAACAAACAGCAACAAGCAGCAACAAACAGCAACAGGAACATCTACAGAACTCAACAGACCTCCGTTTTGGCGCGCACTGCAGCTGCAGCGCTGGCCTCAGGGACACATGATGCATCACGTGATCGGAGTTCAGCGAACATCCAGCCTTGGCGGCTGCCTTCGCACGGATGTTGGCCAACTCCTCAGACAGAAATCAGCGATGCAGCTGGATGCGCTGACGTTACCTATGCATGAGCACAGTGCCCCAGAGTGCTGCACGTGACAAACAAGTCACATGCATCACTCTCAGGCTCCGCAGGGCCCCCAGCTGCTGCAGTAAGCTCAGAGATGCTGGATGCAGCGATGTAATCATCCTGCATCACGAAGGTGAAAAGCTGTCATGGGCTGCCCAAAGGCGACAACCTGAAGGACCCTGCCAAAAAAAGCGCTCCTGGAACTTCTTCGCCATTTTGATCACCAAGCGGCCAGGCCTTGGCTCCCGGATTGAAGATCAAGCTCTAATTCTGACTTAAGCCCTGACAGAACCGGGTGGCTTAAAGGAAAACACGGCTTACCGAAATCGATAACTCGCATGCTGCAGAACTGGCTGTTGTATTTGTATTGGCTTCACGGGCTTGCCTGCTTTACGTCTCCATCACTCAGTTCTCACAGTCAGACAGCAGCTAGCACGAGCAGCAAGCAACTGCGACTTTCAAATTAACGTAAATATTGCATGATTGTCTAGTTACCTGAAGCCACGAATTCAATCACGTGCTGCTGTCTGATGGGTTGAGGACTTCAGGCCACATCTGTAAAGAAGCATCCATGCAACAAAGTCCGTGGCAAGACCTTTCGCACGGATTTCGGGAAGCTGCTGCTAAAGGGACGTCGTATGCAGAATTTGTAAGTCGACATAACACTTATCTTTGCAATGGGCTTTCCAAAAAGACATCCGGCATCGACCTTTCTCTTGCGAGGCGGAACATTTTTTCGGTGGGGAGGCGGGACCGGGGGGTTTTTGAGATCACTATATCGAGAGTGACTGCGATGCTCGCAGTGATGCTCTTTGCTTCCCCCATCTCAAGGATGTCGGGTAGGGCCGTTTCGCTGATTTTGATGCTGTGGGCGCTCGTGCTGTCTCACCCGAGGGTGGCGTGGCATCGGCCCGTACATCCATGACAAATACAAAGTACCTCTACTTTATGTCCTCCAAATGTTAACAGGAGATCAGCTCGTCTGCTGCCTCTAGAGGTTCATTTTTTTGAAACCTCTATCTCCTTGATGTCCTGTGTTTGTCTTTGGATGTTGGTCTAACTTCGCTCCACCTCTATACCGTAAGTGAAGGGAAACCTTCCAGACGCTGTGCCATATTCTGCCCTGTATGCTCTGTCGGCTTCCTCTGTTACTCGCAATGTCGAAGCTCTATTTCCTCTGCATTTGTGCGCATCAATAGTCAATCGTAATACGGTCCCTCGGTCTGGGTATTGGACGGAACTCGATTTCTGGTGTTTTCTGCTCCTGGAGGCCTTGGAAGAGGCCCTACACCTTGCATTATTTCAGATGGTCGAAGCCATTGGGATTCTCGTGCTCCTTCGCCATACGGCTATGACATGAGTGGATTGTGTCAAAACTTTTTTTTGCAGCCATTCTCGATCTACAAGTTTGTGGGAACCTAACCCTAACAATATGCGAGTGCTGTGGAGCCTAGGTCGGAATTGTCGGGTTTGGAGTTCAAGGGGCTAGGGTTTGCAGTTTGGGGTTTAGGGTTTTGTGTTCTGTGTTGCAGAGCTAGGGGCCTAGGAACATCACATATGCAGACATCACGAGAATGCCAGCCACCATGCTCGTGCATGGTCGCATGAAGGGAAGGGTTCAGAAGCTTGATGGTGTGATGTGCTGAAGCAATTAGTTAGTCTTGATGACGTAAACCTTAACCCTACATGCTGAACTCTCGGCTTGCAAAGTTGATTAGAATTCCTTGCTCAATATTGATGATTCCGGTGTGCGGGGCTGGTATTCGGAGTTCTGAGTAATTCAGTAGGTGTTTTATATTTGTTGGCTTTGACACCTTCAAATGTCTTGCGGGTTTGTGTAATTGATCAACAAAGGCCGCAATGGCCTCTTACTTTCCCTCGTTACGTGGTTATTCCTTTCCTTCTTGCTGTCCTTCTTTCTTTGCAGATTGATGTCGTTCTGTCTTTGTCTTGTTTATCGTTTCAGCCCTTCTCTCGGTAAATCATCACCGCCCCGCCCATTTGCTGTTGCTTTTGGTTGTTGGGGGAGAGGGCGGCATCTACGCATACTCATATCATATGGTTCGGCATAAGTACCTGAATGCTGAGGCTGCCACCCTTTTGCAGTGCTCAGGGACCAGTCCTCTGATGCTCCAGGTTAAAAGCTTGCAACAATACTTGCAAAGATACCTCTGAGTATTTTCAACGTCGAGGTCAGTGGTCCGACGAAGCCATTGAAAGCACGCTTCTTGCAAGTTTCTTGCAGCAATTGACGCGGCATGACCCTATAAGTGCAGTCCTGGCCAAGAGACACACGGAGGACACAGCCTTCTGCTGTGACGACGACCAAAGCGGAGTTTGCACTTGCCTGACATTAGGAAGGCTCACTTTGCAACAGCATGGAAGAGGCGTGGCTGCATACTATTGGCAGGGTAGCTCTGATAGCGGAGTCGAAAATGTCTCTGGAATGACAAGGAAGCTCAGTGGGGTTCTGGGCCATCTTCTTGTTCATGCGCGGCCGCAACGCCGATCATGTCATGTGGCCTTGTGAGCCCACTGCAGCTTATCGTCAGCGACCTTATGGGCCAGACAGCTGCAACGCAGGTACATCTGAGTCAACTCGTTCTCAGAAGGAAATCCCAATCATGTGAACCTTCCCCAAGAATCACAACGTACATTGTGCAATCTGATGCTGCCTCAGGACAAATTGTGACCCAGGACAAGTATACGAGTATTCTCTGAATTGGAGAAAGCGTCTGATTTGGCTTCGAAATTTACTGATTGAAGAAGGGACATGAGTTTTGAATAGGATGAACAGATGATAAGCTTGCCAATAATGTGTTCTACATCGGAAAATCAGCCGCGACATTCAACTGCTGTTCCCTGTTACCCTAATCATCATCCCCCGAGCAGGTCTGCCCTCACAGGGTTCCTTACCAGTTTCATGGCTTGCAAGCCTTTGCCCGGCCGGAGTCCACGGAATCGGTCCACAGAGACCTGCCCATGGCCAAACATGGACCTGCACCCACCCTCTCCCTGGCTCCACAACTTGACCCTACAAAGGCTCTCAGTGTCCGGATGTGTTCGGTGTCTGCATGTCACTCAACCATCGCTACGGCCTTCTTGGCGAAGCCTTTCTCAGACAGGAGGACCACAAAGTCGTCAGTTTGTTCCCTGTCATGCATCAGCTACGCTGTGTGGCCGCCTGATCCTATACAATCAACCCAGTTCATGCACGCCCATGTGCTCATCTTGCCTCAGGCTACGATGGGAAACTGTGACAAGGGCTGTAATGCGATGATCTTCAAGCTCAGGCAGGAAGTCCTGAACACGTTCAGATGAGCCAGAGCAGCTAGAATCGACAGCAAGATGTCGGTCCTTCAATTGTGCACCCTCCATGTTGCTCTTCTTGACCAGCGGGACGTCCAAAGCCTCGCCATCCGTTTCACATCCACAGGACCCACGGACAAGCTAGCACAAGTAGAACTACAGTGTGGAAGTGCCTGCAGCATATAGACGAAGCCATGCTCAGAGAACACTAGCAGCGCATCGAAGTCATGACCTGCATGCAGCAAGCAAGGAGAAATAACGAAATGGCAAAAACAATACACCTTCGGTTCCGCATCAGCAACATTCCTCTGTGTGCCCGACAGCAGAAGACTGTGGACAGGGCCTTAGGGCGCAAGAAGCGTCTAGCGAAGTTGCTGAACGCGAGCATGCGGTTGTGACGCAACACCACCACCACTTCTACTTCCACTAGTACTACTGTACTGCTACAGCTTCGGCTGCTGCTGCTGCTGCTGCTACTACTACCGTTACTACCGCTACTGCTGCTACTACTGTTACTACTGCTACTACTGCTACTACTGCGATTACTACTGCTATTACTACTGCTACTACTGCTAGTACTGCTACTACTGCTACTGCCTTCTACTCTACTCCTACTACTTCTAGTCCTACTCCTAGTCCTACACTCAGCTCCTGCTCCTACTCCTACTCCTACTCCTACTCCTACTCCTGCTCCTGCTCCTTCTCCTGCGCCTACGACGACGACGACGTCGACGACGAAGACGACGAGACGACGACTCGACTCGACGACGAAACGACCAGACGACACCAGGAGATAGAGACACGACGACGAGACGACGAGACGACGAGACGACGAGACGACGAGACGACGAGACGACGAGACGACGAGACGACGAGACGACGAGGCGACGAGGCGACGAGGCGACGAGGCGACGAGGCGACGAGGCGACGAGGCGACGAGGCGACGAGGCGACGAGGCGACGAGGCGACGAGGCGACGAGGCGACGAGGCGACGAGACGACGAGACGACGAGACGACGAGACGACGAGACGACGACTTGACGACACGACAAAACGACGACACGACGACATGACGACACGACGAGACGACGACACGACCAGACGACGGCACGACCAGACGACGGCACGACGACGACGAGACGAGACGAGGACGAGGAGACGAGACGAGACGAGGACGAGGAGACGAGACGAGACGAGGCACGACGACGATTATAGACTACTACACACTACTATAGTCTACTACACATTACTATAGACTACTACACACTACTATAGACTACTATAGAGTACTAAGAACACAAAAGACTGCTATAGAACACTATAGAATACTATAGACTACTATAGACTACGATGGACTACTCCTCCTACTCCTACTCCTACTGCTACTGCTACCCCTATGCTGCTACTGCTGCTGCTACTGCTGCTACTGCTGCTGCTGCTGCTACTGCTAGTGCTTTTGCTACTTCTGCCGGTGCTGTTGCTGGTGCTGCTGCCGGGTCTGGTGTTGGTGCTGGTGCTGGAAATAGTAGTCGTCGTCATAGCAGTCGTCACCGTCGTCATACTAGTTACTAGTAGAGGTCATCCTGGTCGTCGTCGTCGGCGGCAGCAGCAGCAGCAGCAGCAGCAGCCCCACAAGAATCCTTGATCACTTGTGGAAAGCCCCTATGAGTTGCACAGAAGAGGATGCCGGAAAGTGGTCGTTCAGGGATCAGGAGCTCAGCTCAGGGCCCCTTCAGTTTGCTCCTGGAGTCATGACACATTGGCATTAGAAATTAGGAATCAGATTTGAGAGAATCGGGTCTTTTTTGTGAGGAAGGTGGTGCGGCTGCTAACATTGGTACTAGAAAAGTCGAGATGCGCAGCACCACTGGGGGAGGGGATCCCCTAAACCCTCATCTGCATGATGAAAGACTACGAAGCAAAACAATGTTCGAGGCCCATCGCTGCTGCAGCCCATGAAAGCTCCTCCTCCTCATGCTCCTCCGCATCTTCCTGCATGGGGCCATGCGGAACATTCGGAATGGACATGAATGGACCGAAACTCACAAACTCTCAGCTAATCAAATCTTTGCACATCTTGAGCCTCCCCCTCCTCCTCCTTCTGCCCCTTCTTGGCCTTGCGCAGTGACAGGCGGTGACTTGCATTGATGTCAGGGAATTACGACTACGAGAATCCTCATTGCATATGTGTGGGCGCACCATCGATGATATGACAGATTATGAACGAAACGAGCTGCAAGGATGGACGACTACACGTGCGTGAACACCCTCCCCTCTCAAGATCTTGCGGAGGTTTGTCATGTAGACACGGGGCGCTTATGTCGTTATCTGAGGTGATCTTTCGATAGTTCGGGCGGCCTTGCCCACAAGGCGCTTGCTCCGGCCGAAGCCGCCGCCCCGTCGGCGTGCCTGCAATTGCAATCTCGAGAGCAGACAAAGAAGCAGAACATTTTCAAGGTTCAAAGATGCGCTTGCATGTTCAGGACACTTAATCTTCGTATTATCTTCTCCAAAACCATATATTATCATTATTATACTCATGTCGCTCGCTTTTGGGTTAAGCACCCACCATTAAGTCACCAGAAAATAGCAAACTAGTAAGCACGTACACGACAAGAAAACACGCGAGCTCATTTGTTGCATTCACACGCTATATTAGGCTGTATTTAACATTCATATTCCTAGAGACCCGAGGAACACTAACGAAGTGGGCATTTTCCCTGTCGTCTAATCTGATGGGGTGTTGGGGGTATTTTAGACGGACTATTCAAGGCAACTCAGGATCATGACGTGTATCACGCACTGCAAAGCAAAACCTTTTCCTCTCGTCCAGGGTTGTCCCTTGCTAGATGGGGCCCCCAGGGTCACGACGCCGGAGTCTCCAACCCTAAAACTTCGAACTCCCTGTTCTTCTTCTATTCAGGGACTCAAGCAGAGAAGGAAGAAGCGCCAAGGGAGACACTAGAGATGACAAACTGGGCTAGCTCGAGCTACGTAGTACAGGAAAGAACACGATACTCCTAAGTGACATTGACGAGAAGAACCATGAGCGGGCAAAGAGCTTCTGTTCCCTGAATCGAGGTGGCCTTCCATTCGCTTGTCCGAACACGCTTCGCAGTGAAATTGCGGCTCAGCACCAAAACGCATTGCCTGCGTGGGTGCGGCACAACTCCGCACAAGAGTCGGCTGCCAGCAGGGTTAGCAAGCCGGGAGTGAGATGGCAGCACAAGAAAAATCCAAGTGTGCTGTGACTGCTTTTGCGAGAAGCACTTGCAACTGCCCACAACATCTTGCTCTGAGCCGGACACTTGTTGACCAAAAAGCTTTCTTCGGACATGTTTTTGGCAGCCAGCCTTTCTGCCGCCTGGCAAAGTAGCAGCAACGCAGAAGCAACGCGAACTCCGAGCCGGTACTCCACGTGACGAACAAACCGACACTGAATGTCAAACCGCACAAAGCAGAGTTGATGCAATGACTATGCCATGAGTTGGGGAGTTGGCTCCATCACCCGCGTTTGCCGCACGAGATGTGCGAGCATGTCCTTTGGCGCATTGACCATCCATGGCCGGGGCGCACGTATGGAAGCGTGAGGTTCATGTAAAGGACGCGTCAAGCGCGGCTGCAATTTTGCGATGCTTTTTGCATCGACGTAGTGCGCGTGGTTGCTAAACATGGTTTAGCGAACACCCGCCCAGTGTTTGCCAAGTTCAGATTCAAACGTCAAACCGACCACATGAACCGAAGCCTCCTGAAACATGCTCTTACACTCACCACTGTATGCTCACTAAAAGGGAAGGCCGTCAAAACTCAAAACCCAAGCAATATCGCGACATTAAGCTTCAGCAATCCGACTGCTACATTGCAATGTGCGTGCGCGCATGTTCGTTCCCCACATCTCCCACGGTAAAGAAAAGTTGATGCACCACAGTAGCGTGAAAGCATGTGAAAAAAAAGCGCGCTGGACTCCGGAGTCCAGAAATGCCCTGACAATTCCTCGTGCAACATAGGAATGGTGACTGTCCAACGGGCAGGGCACAGGCTTGACTTGCAGGGCACAAGTAGCCTGTCAACGCAACGCCTATTTAGGCATATTTCGTCGACCCTTCGTCAGGCCTCTGCTTCCTTGCGATCCTTCTCATCGCACTCATCCAGGGCATGCTCCAAGCCTTCGTCCCGGACCAGTCTCCAAAGTCACAAAGCCACAAAGCCACAAAGCCACAAAGCCACAAAGCCACCACAAAGCCACATCACTGAGGCCTTCTCAACTCCTGAGCTCCGCACGCTGCAAATCCGTTTCCCAGAGCATTTCGATGCTGGTGCCTCATGAAGAAGCGCACAGTAGACCATAGTAGACCCCATGCATGCTAAATTGATTTGGAAGTTGAAAGTGCCTCGCAGCTCATTGAGGGCCACCTCTTTCAGATCGTGGAGTCTCCGCAGCTCCTGTGCTGTGGCTATGGCATTCTGCGGGCCGGTTTGCTTGGCGTCGGACTGTTAGACATTGTTAGACTGTCAGACTCTTCGAACGGTGGACACAGCGCAGCCGCATTTCCTGGTCCATTCATGTCCGTAGTGCCGTGTTGTCCGTCCTCCACCTTGTTCTCTGTGAGGGACCAGAGCTTCATGGAGAGAAGGTACTTGAAACCATCGGGACCAGCTTCTTCCTGGCTGATGCAGTACAAAACATGTGCAAAGACATCTTGCTCTTGGGATTGACAATTTCGTGGCGAAGTGTAACCACTTCACCTCGGCCCTGCTACCCACAGGCATGCTTACACGACCAAGCACAGCTGTGTTCGCAAATCACTTGTCTTGTGACGGCACCGAACTGCCCCCCCCTTCTTTGGGGTCAGCAGAGCGACGCAGGGCATTAGCTCGCAAGCTGCACACGCCGCGAAATTTGTCTGCATGCTTCTTCGTGGGGCCTACATGTCTCAATGAGACCATCGAGACAGGATGCCCGGGAATTGCACGGCATGCAGATCAGGACATGAAGGTCATTTGCTCAGAAATCCACACTGTCCTTGCGTCGGCTGGCGCACTCAGCATGTTTCCGAGGGTACGTAGTTGCATTTTGGTATCTGCTTCAAGGATATCTGCAGCGCAGCTAATATCAGAGCGGCCAATACATGACACAAGATACAGCTTTTCGGCAAGGCACTTTGGCCTCTGTAATGTACAAAGTGCTCATCATGGGTCGCGAAAGACCGATGCAATCACAAGCACCTCTTGCAACCTAAAGGCGCGTTGACTGTGCTGAAATGGTCACCCGTATCCTTTCTCAACGTGTTCACGATCCTGACATATCTTGACCGTCTTGGCATCATTCAGGAACTATACTAGGACTATTGGCCTGATTCTTCTGCCAAGCTCGGCAGTTTTCCTCTCATGTCGCCTCCATTGAGGTCCATGTGGGCACCTTGGGTGCATCAGAGTGGGGGATCAAACCAAAAATCAAAGAGCCAAAATCCACGGATCAAAAAGCCAAGTATGGATCAAACAAATAAAGCCAGCCGTACAGGGCCTTAGCATAGCAATCTTGCTTGCAGGCTCACAACGCTGTAAATGGCAGCGTTTCTGCCTCTTAGCAGGCTCGACAGACGGTAAATCTGCCGAGGCGTCGGAGGTTTGGGACCACCCACCACCCCCCCTACCTCCCGCACCCCACCCTTTCACTGCACAGGACTGCGCCAGCCACACCAATCCATTCTGGGGCTTAGATGCACTATCAAGTCCGTGGAGCACCTGGCCGGAACTGACCCTGTTCTTCCCCCCCTCTCTCCCCTCCCCCGCCCCCCTCCTCGCCAGGTCTACCGAGCGTATGAAGCCGCTTAAACTTGGCACGGATGACGCTGCATGCGCCAGCGGGCCTAGGCGGCTCGCAAACCGCGATAAGCACTACATTATTCCGCCTACTCGCATGCTCCCTGTGACGACAGATGTTTTACTTGCTCACGTTCTGGGCAGCCAGAGCTGCTTTGGCGTTCGCAGGCTCCAAGACTCTGAAAATCACAAACATTTCGGCTTGTTCACAAGCTTCAAAATGTCAAGCAAGATGTAAAATACTGTGCCCTGAAGCTGCATTGCAGCATGTTATGGGGTGTTGCAGTGCTTCTTTGCAATGTGTCTTGCAAATTCGCAATGCGCCGTCGCTCCCAGTGCATCTTCGTAATGCATCTTCGCCTCGCAACGCATGTTCGCAATTCGACTGCGCCTGCACATGTGGGTTCGCCTACTTGGTCCCTTCAAGCACGAAGGCAGTTTTGCATCGGTGTCAAGTTGTTTCGCCCCTTCGCCCCTCTCCGGCAGCAATGTGGTTTTTGAAGCAGTTCCTTCGATGGCTTTCACAAGCTATGACGTGTTTGGAAAGGATTCACATGCATTGAAGCATTTCCCCTTGATGGCTTACAATCCTTAGTTGATGGGCTTCTTGTCTGGATAGATTTTGCCATATACATGCAGAGGCCTGAAGAACAGTGTTCAGAGCTCTTTTGTGGTTCCTTTCCTTCATTCATTCGAGGTTGTTTTTGAAGCATTGCCGGCTTTAAGGGCTTCAAGTTGAAAGTGTAAGTTAGTGGCTTGCTTGTTTTGGGTATCGAGTTAGGGTTGAAGGATATACTTGAGGAACGAAGGAAGAACCCCACCCGTGCACGTACCACTATCGACTTACAACGTGGTTTGGGCCCATCATCTGCATTCATTTGTTCAGGCTCGCTGCTTGTCCCGAGCCCGGAAAGGCGACGCTAAAAAGTACTAAAAAGTCTCTACGATTCGACGAGGGTGCCACAGCTGCAGCTCGCTCTTTTGGCAATTGCATCTCACGTCCCATTGTCAAACACAATTCTCGTATGATGGGTGTGGACAAGATTCGGATTTTGAAGCAGCTGCTTTCGATGGCAACAGGTTCTTCTTGGCAAGCCTTTGCATGGTTTGGGAGGCTTGGGGGGCAGCCCCCCCCCCCCCCCGGCCCCCCGCCCCCGTTTGCAAACACAATGCTCCTCTGACGAATTTGGACAGGATTCAGGTTTTGAAGCGACTCCCCTCGCTGGCATCAGGTTCTTCCTGGCAAGCGCTTGCACGGTTAAAAAAAAGGCGTAAAGAAAGCAAAGGGGTTTTGGAAGGGGCGCGGACAAACCGTCGACTGACCGACTGACCGAGCGACGAACTACCTGGGTCGGTGCGGACCGACCGACCGACTGACTGGCGGGGTCGGCTGGTCGACGGACAGACAGACCAATATGAAAACAGAAAAGTACCAACAAAAAACAATTAAATACCAAAAACACCCAACCGCTGTTTTTGCTTGAAGCCTTCCTTCTTTCATTCTTGCCTTCCTCCCTTCCTGCCTGCCTGCCTACCTGCCTTCCTTCCTCCTTCCTTCTTTCCTTCTTTCCTTTGCCGCGACAACAAGTACACAGTATGGGCTTGATCCTATATGTTTTTTGTATGATTTTGTTTTGGTCCTAGTTTGCTTTTGGATCCCATCAGGATGAGGAGATTCTCTGTGCACCACTTCAATCTCGGCGCCTGCACGGGCACCACATTGAGTATTCGCCTTCCATCACGCCAACGTGAACCGCTCGTGCACACACACACACCCATCTTCGATCTGTGCACACATCTTCGATCTCTGTCTCGAACTGCAAATCTGCAAGTGTTCTCCTGAAGCATCAGCTCGTCGCTCAACTCGGAGATGGAGTCCATCCGTCGTCGCAGCACTCGCAACTGACAGTCCACCTCTGCAGTTGCTGCTTGAAAGCGGCTTTTACGGAAGTTCTCTTGTGCACAGGACGCATCAAGATGATGCGTCAAGCACCGGATTGCTGCAAACAGGCTTCTCTTCGCAACATGGCCCTGTTGTGCAAGCCCTGTCAGGGCACTGCCCATGGACGATGCTGAGTTTTGGCTTCGCGGAACTCCCGAATCTCCGGACAAGCATCACGAGCATCAGGATGAGCGCAGTTGCCTCACGGAAGTTCTTGGCCTGCACCAATCCGAACACATCCGAATGCAAGATGAAAGCAGTCCTTTGCAATCGTAAGTTAAGTCCCAACTGTCAGACGCAGTCAATCACGTCATGCCTCAAGCACGAGAACAGGCGAGCACCATGAGCATCAGCAATGAAGCGACTTGGGAATCTTTCGTCTCGGGATATAGGGGGCCCGCGCAACTTGAGGACGTTTCGTAAGATGTTTCAAACTCGCTCCATCTCGCTCCTCTCCTTCTCTTCCAGATTGTCCCCGCCTCCGCCAGGATCTCATCCCGGCGCTGGTGTGCCACGGTCCGGGCCTGCGACACGGCCTCTTGGCACGCGGCCTTCAGCTTTGCGATGCTTTG